GCATCATCAGTGCCCTGCATTCCCTGTTACAAAGCTTRATGGTRTTGCGGCTGTCCTTCTGCACAGACATGGAAATCCCACACTTTTTCTGTGAATTGAATCAGGTGGTCCACCGTGCCTGCTCTGACACCTTTCTTAATGACATGGTGATATATTTTGCAGCTGTGCTTCTGGCTATTGGCCCCCTCACTGGCATCCTGTACTCCTACTCCAAGATTGTGTCCTCCATCCATGCAATTTCCTCAGCTCAGGGCAAGTACAAAGCCTTCTCCACCTGTGCATCTCACCTGTCTGTGGTCTCCTTGTTTTATTGCACCTGCATTGGTGTATACCTCAGTTCTGCTGTGACCCAAAACTCACGCCCAACTGCAACAGCCTCTGTGATGTACATGGTGGTCACCCCCATGCTGAACCCCTTCATCTACAGTCTGAGGAACAAGGACATCAAGAGGGCTCTGAAATCACTCTTAGGGAGGGAGACTGTAAAAGTGCCAATTGTACTGAGTCTGAAGAAGTGCCCATGATTGCAGGGCTCCGTCTTTGGAGACAGTAATTATGATTCTGTCATTAGATTGGGCAAGCCAATTTGCTCCTTCTGTGTTTCCTGTAATTTTCATGTGTTTGATATCACCTCTCTATATAATTTAATTAACTCGTTTTTCCAGAAAGGTAATTTATATATCAATTTCCCAATGTATCCTATAGTATTTTCTCCTACCTTTAACTTTTTTTTTCTTTTTATTGACATCTAATAATTATACATAGTTATAAGGTACAGAATGGTAATTCAACRTATAATAATCAAATCAGGATAAGTGGCCTTTCCATCTCCTTATCATATGTGTGTGAGTGTGTATGTGTGCATGTGTATATGTGTGTGTGTGTATGTATGTATGTGTGTGTTTGGAGCCTTTAAACTCCTCTCCTTTATTTCTCCATAAAACACATGGTAGTCTGTTTCAAACTATAAGGCTTTCCATCTTTTCTGATATGTAAAAGTTTTTTCCTTTGTCATTTTCTTGTTTTCCCAACATATTCCCAGCCTTGGAAAAGAAGTATTTGGAAATTGCCATTCATGTCATAATGCAACATGAATTTATTTTTTTCAAGGACTAGTGAAAAATTATTTATTTATAAACTGATTGATTGATTGATTCAGCCAATCATCATTCTATGGCTGAGAAGAAWAAAGTCTGAAAGTTGTAAAAGTGTTAATATTCTACTAAAGAAAAACTTTATATAATGAAAATAAGAAACAATAGATACCTGGAATCACCATGCCTTCCTAGCCTACATAGCTCAATAATAGAAAAAACACAAATTTCTTAAGAATAATTTCTTCTGATATGGCATATGGTGTGCATTTTTTTCTTAGGTTTTACTATAGGAATATTTGAATTTAATACATCTATGGGGGAAAATCTGCACTTGGTTAACACTTATGTAATTTCATGATACAAGAAAATCTGAGGCCAGCTTTTCCACATGCACTTCTATCATGATTTTCTACATTGCTCCCTTAACTGCTCTTCCTGAAATGCAGACCTTAGCATAATAGCACACTTCAAGACTGGTCATGGAGTTKTATTCCTTGTGAGGGTGCTGTGCTTTTATTGAGCACCATGTCCACAAGGATTTCCACAGTCACTGGCAGAAAYGATCAACTACGTGTCTCCAAGTGGAGCTGGCACAAAAGAAAAATTAGAACAGGAAGCCCCACCTGATGTGTCCTGTGAGTGAGAGATGACCTTAAACTGGACAAAGCAAGTTCTTACATCACACATTTAATATCTTCCATTAYAATGTGAAACATTTCTTTTATATGTCATAATCTACCTGTTGAAGATTGAAAGATTGTTGTCCATGTGTGAAGGGCTTGCTCATTGGGTGTCAGGCTTAGGGTGACATGTCCATTTTTTTAAAATTATTGACCTATATTCCTGTTTATGTTTAAACACACACACACACACACACACACACACACACACACTCCTGGTGCTGTCTAAAAATGTGGCTCCTTGCATTGCTCTTGTCAGCTAAAAGGCAAGTTGAGGAACCAAACGTGGGAACCAAGTTTATTCAAGCCAATGTGAGGGTGATCACCTGGAGAAACACCTATTCTAGTTGTGCAGAGTCATGCTCCAAATTGGCAGGGGGGGTGAGGGATCTGGTTTCATAGATACAAGAAGAACATACATAGACTCAGAG